AACAGATCAGGAGATAACTGCTATTGAAAAAAAAAGTTTGTTGTTCTCAGACCCAGAGAGAAGGAGGCATGCCACACTTTAGGGGCTACACAGGGAGGCATCAGGGTCAGACAGGAGGCAGAGCAGAAGGGGAAATGTGGCTAGAAGTCTTTATTGTGGTTTCCACAAGAAGGAGTGGGCAAGGCAGGGTAGGCAGGCTTCAATTGTCTAGTTTGAAATAGCTCATCAGGATTTGGAACAGAGGGGCTGTCCCTTGTTGTGTGGTACCTGGCCCTGGGGAGGTTAGGGCGGTAAAGGAGTGGGTTGAAGTTAGGGGTTCTCAGTTGCTTCATTTGCATTTGAAAGGCCTCCCCGGGGTGAGTTGTTTACTATCTCTAGGAACTGGCTAATCCTGGGAGGGGCAACCCTGCAGGATCAGCAAGCATCAGAATACAGAAAATAAAAGACTTGATTAATTTCCATTTTTGCCCTTTCCCTTGATCTTCTTTGCTAGTGCCGTCCCTCCCAGAGACACATTGGAATCCCCGACATCTCAATCCTTGGATGCTTTTTCTCTCGTGTGTCTCTTGTGGTGATGTCATGCAGCTCCCTGGCATTAAGTAACATGTAGCCATTGAGGACTCCCAAATTTCTCTCTACTCCAAACTCTAGACTATTATCCAACTGCTTACTAAACATCTTCATTTGAATGACTAGAGTCTCAAACCATGTACTGATTTCTGCTCCTTAATCTGTTTTTCTTCATCTTCTCCAGTTTAAAGTTAGCACTTTGCTTCTCCTAGAGCTTCAGCCTGAGGGGTAGCCCTACGGTCTTGCACACATTTAGTGGCCCGCGGAGCTGCTCTTAAGAAACATAGGCTGTGGACGCCATTTTGGTGCTCTCCCTCTGCCTTGCTTCCACTCAGCAGTATGATCCAGAAGAAAGATGATATGGTCATCTGGAACCCAGATTTTTGTGACCAACCCCAGAGAACACCTCCAGATTGCCTGGCCTTGGTAGCCAATAGGACTTACAGTTCCAGCCCACAGGACTGTATTATTTGCATATATCACAAGTTGCTGCCTAAGGATCTGACTTTCAACCAACCTGAATCTAGGCGCTAAGATCCTCCTCTTTGGGCTACTGACAGGTCTTGGCATATCCTCCACTGCTGGAAGCTATTAAAAATAAAATCGACTGCTTAGATAAGCACAAAGGTTTGCAGGACAACCAAGAACTGAGGCACGGTTGGAGATCAAGTTTCATTTCCTACATAAGATCAGTTCTTCAAGGCTGGGAGAGGGAGTTGTTTCATCTACTGTGTAGAAACACAGAGAGTCAGGCAAAATGAAGTAACTAAGGAATATATTCCAAAGTCTTCAATAAATAACGTTGGAAATATTGGACAGCCATACACAATAGAATGAAACTGGACCACTCTTTTACACCATGCACAGAAATTAATTCAAAATAAAGACTTGAATCTAAGACCTGAAACCAAAAACGTCCTAGAAGAAAACCTGGGTGAGGAGGTCCTTGACACTGGAGTTGGTGATGATTTTTTAATCTGACACCAACTAAAACCAAAAACAACAAAAGCAAAAATTAAACTAAAAAAATATCAAACTAAAAGCTTCTGCACAGCAAAGAAACCATCAATAAATTTAAGTCAACCTGCTGAATGGGAGAAATATTTGCAAATCATATATCAGATAAAGGGTTAATATTAGTCCAAAATACCTAAAGAACTCATAAAACTCAATAGTAACATGCACACACACACACACACACAGTCAAAATAAAAATGGGTAGAGGATCTGAATAGATATTTTTCAAAAAAAGACAAATAACCAACAGGTTCTTGAAAAGATGCTCAACATCAGTAATCATCAGGGAAATGCAAATCAAAACCACCATGAGTTATCACCTCACACTTGTTAGAATGGCTAGTATCAAAAAGATAAGAGATAACAAGTGTTGGTGAGGATGTGGAGAAATGGAAACCCCTATGCACACTGGATTCTAAGTTGGTACAGCCACTGTGGAAAATAGTGTGGAGGTTCCTAAAAAAATGATAAATAAAAAATAAAACTACCATATGATCCAACAATTCCACTTCTGGGTATTTATCTGAAGAAAATGAAAATGCTAACACAAAAAGATATATGTACCCCATGTCTATTGCAGTATTATTGCAGTATTATTTACAATAGCCAAGATATGAATCAACCTGCGTGCATGTGTGTATGTGTGTGCACGTAATGGAATATTACTCAGCCAGAAAAAGAATGAAACTTTGCTATTTGCAACAACATGGATGGACCTCAAGAGTATTATTACACTAAGCGAAATAAGTCAGAGAAAGATGAATGCTGTATGGTTTCACTTATGTGTGGAATCTAAAACAAATAAACAAACCAAGCTCATAGATACAGAGAACAGATCGGTGGTTGCCAGAGGTAGGGGTTAAGGGGGTAGGAGAAATGGGTAAACTGTTTTTTTTTTTTCCTAGTTTTTAAAAAATTGGAAGAAAAAATAGGACTTCATAGAGAAAGGTTAATTGCATGCTTGGGCAGCAGAGACATGAAATCAGCTTAAGGCAACTTGTGCAGAAAGCAAACAAGCTTCCCAAGATTAATAGGAATGTGGGAAAAGCAAATAGAGGCTACCTTGAAGGGACTTCTAGTGGCTAAAATTATGGTGATTTAGACTATAAAAGAACAATTATTGGGGCACCTTGGTGGCTCAGTTGGTTAAATGACTGCCTTCTGCTTAGGTCATGATCTCAGGGTGCTGGGGTTGAGCCCGCTTCAGGTTCCTCGCTCAGCAGGGAGCCTGTTTCTCCCTCTCTCCCTACCTGATACTCTGCCAGCTTGTGCTCTCTGTCTGTGTCAAATAAATAAATAAACTCCTTTAAAAAAAGAACAATTATTATTTTTTTAAAAGTCCTCAAAATGGATCAGGGACCTAAATATAAGAACTAAAACTATAAAATACTCAGAAGAAAATATAGATGTAAATCTTTGTAACCTTGGATTTGGCGATGGTTTCTTAGATATGCCACCTAAAGCATAACCAATAAAAGAAAAAAATAGATAAATTGGGCTTCATCAGAATTAAATTAATTTGTGCTTTAAAATTAAATTAAAATATTTGTGCTTCAAAGAATGCTACCGAGGAACTGAAAAGACAATTTATAGAATGAGAGAACGTATTTGCACATTATGTATTTGATAAACACTTTGGCAGTTTCTCAAAAAGTTAAACAAAGAATTACCATTTAGCCAAGCAATTCCACTCCTACATATCCAAGAGAACTGAAAACATGTCTACAAAGAAGTTTGTACGTGAATGTCCATAGCAGCATTATTCTAAAAGCCAACAACTAGAAACAGCCCAAATGTCCATCAGCTGATGAATGGATAAACAAGATGTATATTCATACAATGAAATACTATTCAATCATGAAAAGGAATGAGATACCGATACATGCTACAACATAAATGAATCTTGAAAATATTAAGCTCAGTGAAAACAGCTAGATTCAAAAGGCCACATAGTGTATGATTCCATTTTTATGAAATATCCAGAATGAGCAAAACAATTGAGACAGAAAGTATATTGGTGGTTGCCAGAGATTGGAAGGACAGGGGAGGGGAATTGGGAAATTACCATCAGTGGGTAGTGGGTTCCTTTTTAGGGTAATGAAAATAATCCAAAATTAGATAGTGGTGTGGATTTCACAATTCTGTGAATATACTGAAAACCACTGAGTTGTACCACTAAATTGTCTGTATTTTAAGTATATATGAATATATACACACACATGCCCACACACACACTCTTTTATTGTATGTCAATTATACTTCAAGAAGGCTGTTGGAAAAAATAAGTTTGAAGAACAAATACATATTTGTATATAATATATACCTCTCTACAGACCACTTCTCACCTCTACCAGCACCACCATTCAAACCAAACTATCATCTCTGTGAAAACATTCCTCACTGATCATCCTGCTTCTAATCTTGTCCAACCCACTGTCCTTCCCAAGTCTCCATTGTCTGTGCCAAAGCTGAGTCCTCTTTTGAAAATGTAATGAGATCATGTCATTCACCTGATCCCAGATCTTCTGCTGGCTTTCCATCACACTCAGAGAAGCATCTGACTTAGACGTATGGCTCCAACCAATTTCCCTTGGAAAAATGGTTCCATGGCCAATAAAATTTTGAAAGTCTCTTTGAAGACAGACTAGTTCACAGTGATATATCCTGTCCCTTTTGCCTCAACCACAAGAAGTCCTTGGATTTGAGAACAAAGGTAGTAGTGTAGGAGGGCTAGAAGGACCAAAGTCAGGCACCCACTCAGTGTAGCCAGTTCTGTGCTCTTCCTGTCTAAACTTCTTAATAACATGTAGTTCGAATAATGGGCAAACTTGATCACAACACTCAAAAGAGCCTGACGCTCTCCTGCTCAGGCACATATCAAGTGTTTATTGAGAATCTCGCTCTGCTCTAGTGAGCGCTGTCCTTGAGTATCTGACTCCCAGAGTTCAAGTCCACCTGAAGAAGTTGGTGTGCATTATTCATTTGACAGTCATTTGGTTTTCAAGGACCCACTACTGAAAAAACTATGGGAGGTTTTGTGGAGGAGACAAAGGGGCTCAGATAATTACCAGTGTGGGTGACTCACGAGAACAGGTTCACAGTCAGGAAAGGAAGAAGAGCTTCTGATTTGGATCGATGAAGAACACCTTGCTTCCTCTTACCTCGTCTCCCATCTCCTCCAGGCAACAACTTTGAACTTCTCTTCCTGGGGGTCCACTATGACTCTGCTGCCTCCAAGATGACCAGAAGGCAGTAGACTTCAGTACAACGGAGACCCTGGGAGAGAAGCTAAAACTTTCCTTCTGGGGCTTGTTTATGTGTCATTTCCCTGTTTTCAGGAATGAGCAAGTCACCCAACCACGAGACCCAGCAAAACTGTAGGAAGCGCTGAGACGTTCAATTGTCTGTTTCAGATCGGGTACAGACCATGTTCCTCCTTCTGCTAATTTTGAGCGTGGGAATGCAGCTTCATCGGACAGCAGGTAAGAACGGTCGAATGGAGGGGGTCTGAGGAAGAGGAGTAAGCAGTTGTCCCCAGCTGAAGCCGATGATGAGAATGGGGTCCTCAGGCTGAAGTCTTTCTCTGAGAGGAAGTGGGATTACTCTCTATTACGTGCACAGTAAAAAGAATGGTGCCCAGGTGGCCTGTGCTTGCCTATGTCCCTGTCTTACAGAAACAATAACCATTGGGCAGATGGGGAAACTGGAATTCAGAAAAGTTATTTAATTTACCCAAGATTATGTAGTTAATAGACGCCACAGGCAAGCTTTCTACACAACTAACATCCTTTCTGCCTTACGGGGCAAGGTGATGTTGATAAACAAGCATGGCAGTCAGCCCCTAATCTTCCCGCTTTGGAATGGGATTTTGGAATTAAGTTTGACTATAGACATATATTCAATGTTGATACTGGATGTTCACAAAACCAAAAAGTATGTATGATGGAGTTTGCTGAAGAATTAACCAAAAGATGAGGTGCCCGAGTGGCTCAGTAGTTAAGTGTCTGCCTTCAGCTCAGGTCATGATCCCAGGGTCCTGAGATCGAGCGGTTTCTCCCTCTCTGTCAAATAAATAAATGATATCTTTTAAAAAAGAGAGAATTAACCAAAAGGAAAGTATAAACAAGTTGTATCTTGCTTTCTCCTCAAATTTAGAATTCTTCTCTGCTTTCCACTGTACATTATGCAGATGATATCCGTTCAAACAAATATTAATTACCTGTCTAAATTGGACTGCTTTCTCCTCAGGGGTATTTTTGGTTTTTGTAAGTCTGATCATTTCCCATCTCCCTAATTAAGGAGTTTTAACTTCCAAGGTTTCTCATAGAGGCTACCTGAGCGGCAAAATGTAACAAAAGGGTCTGAGGATGGATAAGAACGTTTATTTCTGGGGAAGGGGAGCAGTCCAGGATGAGGATTAAGAAGGACAATCTTTTTTTTTTTAAGATTTTATTTATTTATTAGAGAGAGAGAGAGCAAGAGAGGGAACACAGCAGCGGGAGTGGGAGAGGGAGAAGCAGGCTTCCCGCTGAGCAGGGAGCTCCGCATGGGGCTCGATTCCAGGACCCTGAGGTCATGACCTGAGCCGAAGGAGACGCTTAACAACTGAGCCACTCAGGCTCCCCAAGAAGGACAATCTTAACTAGTATGTTTCCCAGGTGTTCTGTTTTTTTTAAAAAACAAGAAATACACATTTATTTGTGTATTAAAAGAAGTATTATGCCCTTACTTGTCTATTAAAAGAAATATACAAAAATTATACTTGTATGATAAAAATAAAATTTTAAGATATAAGAATTATTTTCAAAAGCATTTGAAGGCATCAGGCTATAGCATCAGGTGTCTGAGGACAGCCGCAGTTCTCAGGGTGGCCACCCTGATGGCCTCCTCCCCCTCACTGCGCTTGTTCACCCCTAAACTTGCTCACCCCTAAACTCCCTCTCTTTGAGAAAGAAAAAAAGATAATATGGACTGAATCAGTATAATTCTTTATTACCTTCTCTATGTAAATTTCTATTTTTAAATTTTAAAAAGAATGCTTATAATAGCATTGTTAATCCTTCCAAAAAAGAAGCCCAAAACAACCAAATCCACATTGATCAACAGGATAATGCATAAATTGTGGTATATGAACAGAATGGAAAAATATACAGCGTTCAAATAAATTAATTGCAAAAATATGCAACTACATTTAAGAGTCTTAGTATCATAATATTGATTAAAAAATACAAAAAAAATCAAACACGGAATACAACATATAGTACAATGTCCTTTTTATAAACAATACATACCTATAGCTATATATATTGCAATATATCTATATATATGTATAATATATGTGTATAATGCATGTGATATGCATATCATAATGATATGATATAAGCAGTATATATATGTGTGTGTGTGTGTGTGTGTGTATATATATATATGATAGAGCTAGAAAATAAGCCAAAGATTAATAAACACAATATTCAGGATGCTGATTACCTTTGGTGGAGGAAGTAGATGTATGTCATTATTAATGTTCTGGTTCTTGGGGTAGGTAATGGATTCGCAGGAGTTCATTTTCTTTGATTTGGTATCCTTTAAAATTTTTTTTTTATTTAAACTTTTATGTTGTAAAAGATGCCACAGGCAGAGAAAACCACATGAAACAAGTGTAAACCATCATGTTGCCATAAGGTGAATGCTTGTAACCAGTCACCCATGTCAAGTGGTAGACCTGTACCAGCCTTCCCTGAAAACATTCCCCTGCCCCAGTCCTATATAACCTCCACCCCATAACACTCTACTGTCTACACTTTTCTCCATTAAAAAAATTTCCTAAATATTATTAAAAGAAATATTAGTAAGCACTCAGCAAAATATGTTCTTTATTGTTTCTGAATCAGCAAATACAGATATCGCTCATTTTAAAGTGAATCTATATATTTCATTGGACATGCTGTAATTTATTTAACCAGTCCTTTATTGAGAGAAATTACAGTTATTTAAAAAAAATCATTTCTTGCTAGATTAATGCTTGAAAAAAATGTGTTTCCTAAAGACTGTGATGAAGGCTGACTCTGAGTATGACCCACATAAAACATTCATCATGAACCCTTTCCTTACTTGCCTGTCTATGGGTGCTCTGTTCTGTTGTCTATCGAACAGCTTAAAGTTTGAAGAGGAAAATTGGCAGAATACATTTTCATTTCATTGTTTAAACATTTATTTATTTTCAAATTGACATAGAGCAACATTTAGTCTTTTTAATAGAAACATCTACGAGTTTTTGGCAAACACGTGATCATATAAACAACGCCACAGTCAAGATCCAGAACAATTCCACCACTTGCCAAGCAAACAAACACAAAACACTCCCCAACTCTTAAAGCGAGGTACCCACTGATCTATTCTCTGTCCTATAGTTTTAAATTTTCCAGATAATCACATAAATGGGATTATCTGCTACATACCTAGAGACGTGTTTTTTCTGGCTTCTTTCACTTAGCATAAAGCAATTGAAGATTTTATTCATTCATTCATTCATTCATTCATTAGAGAGAGAGAGAAAGCACAAGCAGGAAGCCCCAGGCAGAGGGAGAGGGAGGAGCAGGCTCCCCAGTGAGCAAGGAACCTGATGTGGGACTCAATCCCAGGACCTGGGATCATGACCTGAGCTGAAGGCAGATACTCCGACTGAGCCACCCATGCACCCCATCATAAGGCAACTGAGATTTACCCATATTTTTATAATATCAGGAGCTCATTCCTTTCTGTTGCTGAGTAGTATTCCCTTATATAGACCAAATTTTGCTTATTCATTCCCCAGCTGAGGGACTTTTGGGTTGTTTCCTGTTTTGGGCAATTATGAATCAAGTTACTGTAAGCGCTAATGTACAGATTTTGGTTAGAAAATATGTTTTCATTTCGCTTGGGTAAATACTTGGGAGTAGGATCGCTGGGTCATGTGGTAAGTATATACTTAATTTTATAAGAAACCAGCAAACCTCTCCATAGTAGCTGGACTTCTTTGCTCTCCCAGCAGCAAAGTACAAGCACTCCAGTTGTTGCATTCCTGGGAGCCCTTGGTATTGACATTTTTGTGTTTTATAAAGTCATTTTAATAGGTGTCTTGAAGTATCTCTTTGTGGCTTAATTTGCATTTTCCTAGTATGTAGTGAAGATAAGCATATTTTCACACGGACATATCCATATGCCTTCTTTGGTGAAGTTTGTATTCAAACTATTTGACCATTTTTAATTGGTTTATTCATTTTCTTACTTAGTTTTAGAGTTCGTTGTATAATCCAGAAGCAAGTCCTTTAACAGATGTGTGAGATGCAAGTATTTTCTCTCAGTCTGCGGCTCATCTTTTCATTCTCTTAACAGTGTCTTTTACACAGCAAAGATTTTAAGTTTGGTGGAATCCAGCTTATCTTTGTTTCTTACACAGACTATGCTTCTGGCATCATGTCTGAGAACTCTTCAGAGAGTTCTCAAAGAAAATCTCAAAGATTTTCTCCTATGTTTTCTTCTAAACACTTTATAGGTGTACATTTTACATTTAGGGTTATGATCCATCTTGAGTTACTTGTCACAGAAGATATAAAGTATGGGTTGAAGGTAATTCTTTTTCTTTTCCATGTGTGGATGTCCAGTTTCTTCAGCCTCTTTTGTTGAAAAGACTATCCTTTCTTTATTGAATTTGCCAAACATCAATTGGTCATATTTGCGTGGGTCTATTTCTGGACTCCATTCTGCATTCTGTTCTTTGCGTGTACGTTTTCCCTCATAGCACACTCTTCTGATTTCTGTAATGTTGTAATTCTTTTTTTCTTATGTTTTTATTTCAAAACCTAAGGTCATCTTGTAACCCAGACACGGTTAAGGGGAAATATTCATTTCTGTATTTTGTCATGCCTTGGAGGAAAAGTAGCTCCAATTATTATTCCTTTTATTCATATTTTTCCTTCTTCCTTCATCCTCCAGGGAGGGATAAAAGCCAGAGGGTCACATGACCATGGTGACACTTGAGGTCACTCTGGGGTGGGGATCACACCTTGGGTCACTCCACTTAACCTATCTTCAGGCTCTGAAACTACTTCTTCAGATCCCTGAGGTATACAAAGCAGAACTATCAGGCTGCAGAAAGGATTTCTAAGAGATGACATGTCCCCATGCAGTATTCCTACAAAGAGGAGTAGATGAGTCAGGAGCCCAGAGCAGGCTTCTATCCTAAACTAACAACTAGAGCTTTCTCAAGGCTGTGGTGTCAAGCAGACCCCACCTTTCAAGTTCATTAAGTACAGAGTCTGAAAAAACTTCAACTTCTGTTATTAAATGGAAAAAAAAAGTATAAAATTAGCTTGAAGGGGAAGCTATCTTGGGAGGTAATGCAAATGATTTGTTTTGTGTTTCTGGAGATGTGACAGGTGCTGACTCCTATAGATTCCTGATTGCAAATAAAAGACAATTTCCCTAAGAACTTTCAGAAAGG